ATAATACCATATTTTGAGACTTGAGAGGGTCAGTAAAAGAAAAACTGGGCAAAGCAATAAAGCAGCACATCCTTTGGAAAGCCCAAGCAGCTGTTCCACAGGCTGTCCCCCATTGTCTGTGTATTGGGTATGCACAGCCACCTCACTGGAGTCCCAGCAGAGGGGTTATCTGTACAGACATGCACGCAACTATCAGCTGCTTTTGAAGTAGCGGCACGGAACAGTAATTTTCACCGCAAATCTCTCCCCCCGCCTTTTTTTCTGTGTTCCTGGCTTCCCTCTCCAATCTCATTGTCTTACACTAGATACGTACATGCAAGTTCAAGTGTTACCATGAATGTGATCTGCTTCTTAGGTCGCAGCTGGATTCAGCAGAAGAACCCTCCATTGAGGAAAGCAGAGCTGTAAAGAAGGAAACGGGAAGCTCATTTGGTTCCTGGAGATCCCATTGGCAGCCAAAGGATGCGCTGGGCCGTTTTGGAATAATACGGACTAGGACTACGATTGAAGGAAAAATTCTGTGCTTTTCTTGTTGCTTCTTTGTAAGGACCGGAGACATGAATAACACAGTGGTGTTGACAAACAAGGCTTCAGTGCTTCTGTTTCGACACAAGCCCTAAGGTGCAGGAATCAATTGAAGCTAAACTGCACTTCCCTCTGGTCTCCACCCTGAACTCAGACTGGTTCCTGCATTTAATGTCTTGCGTTGAAGCAAAAGGCCTAACGCGGATAACACATTTCTCTCACTCGGAACCCATTCCACAGATCTAGGGGTTAGGAGACAGGATGCTGTTCATAAGCAAATGTTTCCTTCTTGAGAATCACTGAACTAACACGGGCTTCTTTTAGACCTCAGGGCAACTGGTGCGCATCACCGAATGATGCTGTGAAATGGATCATGGCAACTGAGTCACCCTCCCCTCTTGCAGTTTGGGGGTGGGGGGAGTCTCTCACACAGGGTCAGGCCTAAGTGATCCATTCTTAAGGCCAGGCACTCCTGCCATATGCTAAGTGTTTGCTAGAGCCGTGCACTTCTGGTGCTTGAGGAAGAGTACTCTGCAATGGAACAAACTGGGGGAGGGGAGCTGGCTGAGGGTCAGGCAAGCAGAGATAAGACTCCAGTTGGCTTGGAGCCTGCCTTCCCGGAGCTGAATTCACAGCACCCTCTGGCCTGGCTCCCTGGAAGGAGGGCACCACTTCTGACAGGGACCAGCATTTCATTTATAAAATAAATTTATATATTTTATAATAAAATATATATCTTTTATAAAATTTATAAAATAAAAGGAGCCAGAGCTGCTCCTGCTTTTTCACCACCCCCAGGGAGCTTTGGCAAGACTCCCTCCTGAGCAGCCTCTTTTAACTACTTCCCAGGGCTCAGAGTTGCCCTGGGCCCTATCAGCACTCCATTCAAAGTCCTGGATCGAAAGGTGCATGCTAGGAGCTCCTGGGGATGGCTTGTTCCTCCTTTTGTTCTGACATGAAATTCCCTGGTCTGCATAATCAGATCCTCCCTGACCAATGATCAAGCTTTCACTTCTTCAGAGAAGCAAAAAAGGCAAGAGGGCTTGTAGGAGGCCAACTGCTTGGGAGATGTACCTTGTGCCCATAAGGTAGGAGACACACTCAGTTTCTGCCCCAGGGGTTATCTCTTGCCCCTGCAACTGAGGGTAGGGGTACCAGATAGCTGAAGAGGCAAAGGGGGACACAGACAATTGGAAAGGAGGACAAATGGGGGGAAAGGAAGACACAGTATTTAACTTTCTTGGCATCCATGACAAAAATTACAGCAAAAAAAATGTACTTGGGCCTACATGTATATGAAATTACTTCTTCCAGTATCAGAAAAACTGGTTTTTCAATCACAGTATTTTTCCAACAAATCTTTATTTTCAAGAACATATAGGTAGTCCTCACTTAACAACTGTTTAACAACAGTTCAAAGTTATGACAGCCTCGAAAAAGTGCTTTACAACCTGTAATCACACAACCATCGCAAACTGTTGTACCACCCCCATGGTCACGTAATTGCAATTTGTGTCCTTTTTTATGATGTTTGTAAAGTGAATCATCACAGTCATTAAGCGAATCACATGGTCATTAAGCAAATCACATGGTTGCTAAGCAAATTCTGGCAAAAACTGTCTGTTGGGGAAGCTGGATTCGCTTAACAACCATGTGATTCACTTAACAACCATCATAAAAATGGTCGTAAAATCAGGTCCAGTCATGTGTTGACTTGCTTAATGATTGCCCTGCTTAACAGCCAATTTTCCAATCTCTATTGTGGTTGTTAAGCAAGGACTACCTGTATGTTAGTGATAATATAGAATCAACACGCTTTTCAAATTTCACTATAGAAACATATGATGACTCAACGTGATATACAGACTACAGTAATTATAGATTTGAAGGAGCTGGATTGAATCTGATTGCGGAATCAGGAAATAAATTAAACAATGTAAATCTAGGCTGTTAAGTCTGTCAAAGGATGAGGGAAAGAAAGAATCAGACAATTCAAAAGGTCATAAAAACATGAAGGTTTGAATGACTGCTGTTGTGAAAACAGTCCAAAACAACCAACCAAGAAACTCAAAAAGCTGGACAATATTTGATTTTAAGGCTACGTCTGCTGGACGGAGGACATGAGGACAAAAAGGAGGGCATGTCCTCCTTTGGCTGGATGTCCGGTAACCCTAACGGAGGCCACTGTTGCACTGTGTGCCACTTCCTCTGATACAGGAGCTGCTCCTGTTCCAAAAAACAGAATAGTAGTACAGTTTCAGTCCTCACTTTTAATCTGCAAGGCAGCCTAAGTGATGTTCCTACGCCTGGCATGAATCTGAGTGCCACCCTTCTAAAAAGTGTTCTATCCCCACACGCAAGCTTGAAACCTACTTGGTAGATAGGACCAGATGGCACAGTCCTCTCATACCAGTTGTAAAATGTGGCACAAAAGCAGAAGTGAAGGAGTTAGGGGAAAACATAACATTTGAAGGCGGGCAGGTAAAAAAGGGCTTGCATGATAGAAACCAGCCAGTTCCATTTTTTGCCTGCAAATTCAAACATTTTTCTAAAGCCTTTGCGTCACCATGGAGAGGGTGGCAGATTGTCAGATTATTTTAGGAGTAAGCTTATTATAAATCTTACAGGAACAGAAGTGCAAAAAGCCACACCAATGAGAATGGGACCTAGATGGCCCGCATAGGCAAAAAGGAAAGTGGGAGGAAGTGGACTCCTTTGGAACGCTCAGGCAGCATTTCCGACGCAGCTCCTGGAGCTGTACCCAGGCAATGGGGTTATCCATAAAGCACGGACTATGCCCAGTGGCAAACAGAGGATGAGCAGTGTTTTACCACCATCAAGCACTTGAATCCACTCTCCCTTCTCCCTGGTACCATCATGTTATGAATGGCAACGTTAAAGTGTAGGAAGAAACCATCTGAATTCATCCCTTTGGAAGAATGCATTCACAATAATTAAGCCACTGGCAAATGCTACCAAAGTAGGAAATCAAAATAATCTCTCATTAACGGATGGATGGACAACATGCTACAAGCAAATGGGATCTGTCACAAAGGCCTGGGTTTCTGTGTCCCTGAAGGACCATGTCCTTGGTCTCATGTGAAGAACCATTGCACAAACCTCTTTCAGGAAATGCTAAACTTGAAGGACAGTTGAGAAAACAGAGGCTCTGATAACAATAATAGATGTGATGGCTTGTAAGAAGAGATATAGCTAAAAAAAAGGAAAGTTGTGACTTGCATAGAAGACTAAAGGGATCCAGTAATCTTGTGTCTGTGCATGGATGGAAGAGACTCTTACAACACTGTTCTTTACTATAGACACTATATTATTAGTATAATTACATTCATAGAAAACTCTATTTAGGCTCACATTTAAGTATATCTGACTTTTGCTTGTTTTAAACAGTATGTAATCTAGGGGAAGTCATATGATTGATAAAATTGCAAACTAGACTTCAAGGGAAATTCAAACAAGTGTTCTTCCCCTCTTCTTTTTAAAATTTCTCTCTTTATTCAGATTTCTTTTAAAGCTGTAGTCTGTATCAGACTCTTCCGTATACAAAATGGCTTCCACGTGAACTTTGCTGCAACAATCCCTCCTTGTAGCATGTCAAAAGCAGAGAAGATTTAAGCCAGGTAACTAGTAAAAATAAGGAATAAAGCATAAAGCAAGAAATACTATGCATGTGAGAAGGAACTTAGGAGATGCTCCACAGATTTGTACAAAATGTACACTTATTTCACCAGGAGGGAGGACAGGCAGGCAGGCAGGCCTGATCACAGCTAAAAGAGGGAGGAAAAGCCTGTTGAACTGCTGCTGCAAAGGCAGAGTAGCAGAACAATAAAGAGCCTCCCTGCATTCTTGGCAAGCGGGGAGTTGACCTTAGCTAATGGAAACACACACCCCGCCCCCGCCCCCCGGCCTTGCCCATGCCTGCATTCCGGCAGCAATCATCCCAGAGCAGCTGAGTCTCCACGGGTACCCAGGCCAGTTTTCTGGGCATTCACTCTCTCCACCCACTTGCTCCTGGAAGTAAGTTAGCAGCAAAGTGGTATTAGGTCTGCCCTTCTAGCCCACACTGCATAGTTAGGCTTTTTTATTCTACATCAGTAATATGTTCAGTGGAGCAAACCATACTAAGAAGTCTCTTTTACTCTCCTGTGCAATTCTCCGGGCACCCTTTAAAATAAGAGGGGGCAGTTTTGGAGAGCATGTGCTGGGTGTTGCCCCACAGGCATGGCAGTGTTTCATCTCCCACTATTCTGTAGATTACACAGCCAACATTCAGTGGCATGATGTATCACTTTACAAAAATAAAAAGCCAAACAAGGGTGCTAAGCCTGCCTCTCTCTCTCTCTTCTTTTCTTTCTTTCTCTTTCTTTTTCTCTTTGCCTTCAGTGTTGACTCCTGGCAACTGCCTGGAGAAGTCCCTGCAGTTTCCTTGGTAAGATTTTGGAAGTGGTTTGCTGTTGCCTCCTTCCTAGGGCTAAGAGTGACTGACCCAAGGTCACCCAGCTGGCTTTAGTGTCTCAGGTGGGGCTAGGACTCAGAGTCTCCCAGTTTCCAGCCTGATGTCTTAACCACTACACCAAACTGGCTCTCAAGCTTCCAGTAGGCTTAACATATTTTACTTAAAAAAAAAAAAAGCACCAAAAAGTCAATGAGAGGAAAACAGAACCCATCCAAAGATTTCACTCATGTCTTCCTGGTGATGTCACCCTTGTGTCTGGAGGCCCTGAACTGCAAAAATGTTTCCTATTTGCATCAAATAGGCGGGCTGCAAAGCTCCATTCCCACAGCCTGCCTGCCAGTCAGCCCGCCCCTCATGCTAGTGGGCAAGCTGCCAGTTCAGACACTCAAATCATCATCTTGAGGGACAGACACTTAAAGTACACACACTTTAGCAAAAGGGGATCTCCCCTCCCCCCAAGCCAGAAGAGGCTTTGTTCTTTTGGAAACCGCAGTCCGAATTCCCTGAGAAAGGAAGCAAGAAGGTGTGTGCCAAAAAGGAGTGTGTTGAAGGGGGGAGGGAGTGGGAGAAAGAGAAAGCGAAGATTCCCCTCCAACCTCTGATTAAAATGGGATTGCTGGGTTAACAAATGAAACAAATGAGGGGATTTGATTTAAGTCTGTTAATCTGTTCTCTAGAACATGGGAAAATTAGTGAAGTACTGCATTTGAGTTAGATCTTTGATATGTTTAGTTGTGTTGCTCTTCATGTTTTATTGTCTCTGGTATTCTCTGTACATTGTGTGCAAATTGTGTCTTTTATGCAACTTGGACTCTCTTTCCAGCACAGTTCCTCTGAATCAGGGGCAGATCAAGATCACTGTGTGTTTGCCCTGGGTTCTGTATTGTCCTTTGTTGTTCTGTGGGAGATTCTTTTAAGTGGCTGTATGTGACTTGAACTTTATTTTCCCCCATTATCTCACTTAATGCTTTACATGCCCCTGCTTAAAGCTGAAGAGGATTGTTACATGTTCTATTTTCTTTCTCTTGTTTTAAGATTAAGTCTATCTCTTGGGCGATTGGTCTATCACCCCACACAAGAAGTTGCTCAGGAGGAGCCAATATCCCTAGTGAGATGTCTCACTGCGACCAGGCCAGGAGGTAACACCACAGGAAGGAGCATAGGCTGCGGGTGTCCTCCCTCGCACGCTGGAGCTAGGGAGGGGTTGTTAAGCAGGGTGCTCCCTAGAAGACAGCTGGTAGCAGCAACAGCACTAAGCCACAACACGGAGCTAGTGCGTGTCAACCCCAAAGGCGGGGAAGGAAGGTTGCAGCTTCCAGCCTTGCGTTCTCCAGGCTCAGCCCTGCACTAGAGCCCCCTTAGCCAAACAATCCAGTCTACTAACTCTACCCTTTAGATATCAGGTCCAAAATATGAGGATGAATGAAATCTGTGGCTCCAAAAATCTTTATCACAGATGCAGGTTTGTTGACAATTATACTTACCCAGATCTTCCACCCAGCAGCACTTATACTATATTAAATTATACTAAATTACACACATCATCATTCTTTTACATACTGGATGGTGCCTTTTTTCCCCCAATGTATCATACACATTTGACATTTCCTGCTACAGAGGCAGTCTTTGTTCTTTCTCTTTTTAGAGTAATGGAGTATCCCATTTTTTTGGCAAAGTGTTTCTAACTTCTCAGGTGTTTTCAAGGATGTCTGTTAGCACAGTCATTCCTTTGAGCCCTTCGTGGGCCAGGAAGCAAATTCTTCATAATGCGTTGGTAGTACCTCCCAGGTTCACAGTTCAGCAAGAGGCTGACTTCATCAAGAGAACTTTGATTTCAATATGATTCAAACCAGCAACGCCTTGTCTTTCAAGCTTATGCAGTCAGAAACAGCTCAGGACTTGGCCACAGTAAAGCACATCAGCAAATACAGCCAAGACTTGCTTTTCCATTGGATTTTAATCCTGATGGCAGCGCAAAAAGGAAGTGGGGCTTGGGGCAATGCCAATTAACGCTACGCAGGACTTGAACTCCAATACAGTGCAGACATCCCACAGGGAAACAAAGATCAGAAATCCAAATCCTGCCATTTCCTTCATGCCAAGTAATACAGATGCCTTTACTTTACAGAACAGTTACTCGAGCTCTTCATTACATTTCTTCCCTTGAAGGAAATCCCATATCACTTGATTGACCTTTTCAGGCTGTTCCTCAGGTAGCCAGTGGCTCAAGCCTGGGAAGAGATGCACGTGGTAGTTGCCCTGGAGATAGGGCAGTGTCTGACTGATCAGCCCCTCTTCCAGGAACGCATCCTCCTGTCCCCAGAGCAGCAGAGTAGGCACCAAAATATCTCTGCATTTTGGAGGCATCCAGCTGTAGGCAGACACACGTTGATAAAAATTTAAATGAGCCCTGGAGAGTTAACAGCTTGCTGCTTATACTGTACAGGCTCAAATCCTTCCTGCTATCTCCTCCCTGCAGTTTCATGCACCCCAATCACTGGGAAAAAGCTAGGAGGATCTGGTAAAGAGAGCATGTTCATACTGTAGCATCAGTCTACCACCCAATATCTCCCAGTTTTATTAGAAATGAAGATCGGTCAGACTGTCTTTCAGAAAGCTCACCGGATTTCCTCATTCCCTGGCCTGACACATTAAAAGAGGGAAGGGCTACTTTTCTCAGATTATTTAATGGAAAAGTGAGTATGTGCCCTCTTGGAAAATTAAGACCAGAAGGCTATTATCGGAAAGCAGTTCAGACAACCCCAAGGGAAGGAAGAAATGCTGATACAACCCAAGAGCAGAGCCCAAGAGCAATGGTCTCCCACCTGAGGATATTCCTGTAGTAATTAATGGGTGGTGTTAAACCATTAGGCCTTGAGAAACCGTACAAATTAAGCCTCCAATTCCTCTGCTGTGAACCGACATTCCGGATTCCTGTCTTCTGGCTTGTTATGGCAGCTTTTATTAACTAGAAATAAGACAGAACAACATGTAGATGCAGACTGGACACACACCCCTCTTGCACAATGTAGGCTCTTCTAGCCTTTGCACATCCCTTCGTCCCACGAGGTAGGTGAAATCGAGAGAGAGTGACTGGTCCAGAGTGAGCTTCTATGACTGAAGATAGATCTGAACTGGGGTCTCCCTGCAACCCTAGTCCAACACCTTCATTATTACATCCCACTGGATCTCTTGAAGCAGCATGAATTAATCTGGTGTGTTCATCTTCCAAGAACTTGGTTTAAAGGGGCTAGATATTTGAGGAAGTTGCATCGCTGCTTTGCCTCTATGGCTTCACCCAAAAGTATGGATGTGTT